ATTAGTATTTTTTAAAAATTTAACATTTTATTAATCTAGCTTAACCTTAATTAGTTGTTATATGCTTGACGAATCATTTTTATTTTAATTTAAGCAAAGAATTGAACGGTCTAATTTTATTTTTATTTAAGTAAATTTAAATTCACTTAAACACAATTTTTTTTTTAAATTATAAGAAAGAAGGAACATACCAGAGTGTAGAACTAAAGGAAAGGAAATGAAAAGAGAAGAGAAATTGTGGAGGAGTGGGAAGAGAGGCAGCGTGAGCAAGAGGAGAAAGCGAGATAAATAGAAATAAAGAAGTTTGAAAAATTAAAAAAAAATTATTTTTATTTAAACAAAAATAAAATTAGACTATTCAATTTCTGCACAAATTAACACAAATCAATTTTTATATTTTACTAACACAAGTATTAAGAGTTAGGATATGTTATATAAAAATAAATATAAATATAATTTTGTACTCATCTCAATATAAAAAGTTTTAAAAATATTTAATTGTAATTTTAGTTCATCTATTATAATTATTTTAATATCTATTTTAAAATTGATTTTAATGTCTTAATTATTTTAATAATTATAATTAAATCCTTCTATTAGTCTCCTTTTTGTAAACTTGTAAATTCTTTTTTTTTTATTAATTGAATGGTTTATATGGTTTAAACTCTTTTTCACTTAAAATTAATGAACATTCAAAAACCTCATATTTCACTTAAAATATATAATATTTTCTTTTTTTAAAATAAAAATTATGACAACAATATATTAACAATTGTTTTACATCTAATTCTTTAATTCCTGCAATTAAAATTTTTTTAGTTTAATTACATTGTATTTCTACTCGTTAATGGATTTATGATTTTAATTTTGCTAATTTTAATTGCTGACATATAATTTTTTTAGTTTTTTAAATATTGAAATTAAAATTTTGACTCTAAAATTAATTTTTTATTATATTTTATATGTTTTATTTTATATTTTATAAAATATTTTGTATATTTTATTTATTTATTTATATAAATAAATAAAATGTCATATCTTTATTATATTTTTATTAATTATTATATAAAAGTTTGGGAGTGAAAGGCTTAAATATTCAAAAAATTAAAAACTTTTTATATAAATAATTAAAATTAAAGAGATGAATGTCCAGTTATTATTTTGATACCCTTATTTTGGGGGTAGTCTTCGATACAGTAGCAGAAAGCATGGAGCTCAAACTTGAGTCATCAATGGCTTCTCCGGGATCCATTCCATGCACAGTGCCTCATTTGAAATCTGGATTCGCATTTCAACCCTCTCTTTACCTCGCCTAACCTTCTTCTCTTCCTCCATTCCATACCTTCATGCACCTATGCGATTCGGCTACCCCTCCTTTGCGTAAGGTTAATCATCCCAATGAACCAAACCACAACGCCCCTTTTGCCGGAAGTTCCTTCAATGTTGAGTTGGTGGCCTTGTGCGAAGAGGGTAAGCTCTATCAAGTTTTTGAACTCGTGAGTCAGAGGTTTTTTTGGTGATTATCGTGTTTGTCTTGCGCTATTGAATTTATGTGAGGATGCAAGAAACATGCAGATAACTAGGACAAAGAAGCATTGAATGACTAGAACCAAAAATGTTGAATGATTTTGGCAAAATTTATTTTATGCAGACTTATTTGCAGTTATATGATTAGATTAAGCACTAATATGCTAAAATAAAAAATATGCTTATGTATCATGTAACATATATGAAATTCATATTACTTAATTATATGTTTTTTATTTTGTTAATATTTAAAAAATATTAAGACACCTCGATCTTATTATTTTTTTACATTTTCAACAATCAATTTACTTTTATTTTATTTTTATAATAAATTCATAAAAATTAAAAATATAAATTTATATTTTCTTATTTCATTGTATAATTTTTTATCTAATTATTTTTATTTTTATTAGAACTTTTGAATGGTACAATTTATTCAATCTTTGATCAACTTTAATAAATTTTTTATCTTATTTATTTTGTTTAGTATTTGTTGTATTTCAGTAACCATTACAAATTGTAACATTATTTAATATGTAAATTTTGTACTTTGCTTTACTTGATTGTCATATTAGAATTATGATTTTCTGTTCCACTAATTTTTACATTATTCACTTAAGTGAAATGCATCTTTCTTAAGTGTACACATTTACTTATGCTATATTGTTTTTATTTTAACAAAATCGATGACTTATGCTATTTAACTTTCTCTTAATCAAGTTCAAATGTTTCAAAAGTTGTGCTCCTTGCTTAATATTGGCTTAAAAAATTTACACTTTACTTGAACAAATTAAGTTTCGCTTAAATGAACTATTTCTTGATTAAGCCAATTTCATTGATCCAATGAATAATCTTTGCACAAAAGTCGTTCTAGCTTTGTAATACTTGCTTAAGTGAGTTTCACTTCTACCGTAACTTAGTCGCTTCATCATTTAATTAAGTTAAACTCAAATTTTACTTAACCAATTTATTTTTAACTTAAATGAAAGTTACAAATTTCATTTAAATAAATAAAAAATTACTTAAACAAAAAAATATAAATTAAACGTCCAATTCTTGTATAAACTGAAAAAGGATTTCAATCTTAATACACTTAGTCTAATTAAACTATTTTTTATTATATATATATATATATATATTTATATTTAATATATATATTAAATATAAAAATAATACTAAACGGTATACTGTATAATATTAAATTTTAATAATTCAAATAATAAATATTATGCATCTTGTCCACCAACTTGGTCAAATATTTATAGCAAACTTCATCGGTTATTTTTCCTCGTTTTGAGTTGAGTAATGCGAATGGCATTTTTTTTTAAAATATACGTTTTAAGAAATTTTTATAATTTTTAAAAATTTAATAATTTTTAAAATCTGTTAAATTTATAACTTTTTAATATGTGACAAGAAGTAGAAAGTTTATTAAAAATCACACAATATTATTAAATTTAATATATTAATAATTTTAAATGCTACAGTGTTTAATAGAAAATATTATTAATCATTAAATATAATTAAATAAAAATATTAAACTTATGATATAAATATTTTAATTTTTTAGAAAATAAATCAATTATATAGAATTTATTAAAAATTGTATCAGCAGCATTTTTTCTTCTCAAATTTACTAGTCCTCGAAGCAAACTATCTTCTCTCTCCTCCTACAGCAAAGCTGAAATTAGTGGATCATACGTCAAATTAAAAATTTATAAGATAACAATATGACAAAGAAATAATGCCGAGAGAATCCTCTTTGTTGATACGATTAATTGTCTACTTTATTCTCATTCCAATCATCCACCTTTTCATATCTAAATTAAGCTAAGATCAGCTCCAGTTGGCCCAAGATTATCATTGCATGAATTATTATGTGAAAAATGCATGTTATATACATCGGAAGATATCAAATTAATTATACTCACTTTCATATATTTTTTAATATTTTAATTTTAATAAAATTTAACATAAATAATCAAAATAATATATATTATAATTCAGCAATTAAATCTAGAAAAATATATTTTATATGGCTTTATTAATACTGTAAAGTGATGTAATTTAATTACACCCATATAATTTCATCCTTTTCTTATAAATATATATTAAAAATTTTAAAATAAAGTTAATTTCAACGTATTTTTTGAATGAGTATTCTTACATAAAATTTTATAACTTTGAGTGAATTTTAACTAAAATGTTGGAATGAGTTTGGCAAAGTGTCTGACATTAATACTATTATTTCATTATTTTATCATTTCTAAATGTGACTTGTCCCCTGCAATAGCGGCCATGAAAACTGGATGAAATTCCCATTAGCTGGTCCAGCGTGTTTCACTGTTCGGCTTTTTTTTAAATGAAAAAATTTAAAAAATCGTAGATGGAGATTTATGATACCTTTAAAATATTTTATTATTATTTTAAAAATTGTCATTTGCAACTTTTGTTTTTTAAATTTTTTAAAATATCTTTAACAACTTTTTTGTGTTTTTATCTCTGAATTTTTGTGTATATATTAAAAATGATGTATAAAAAAATAATCCTCAGTTTTCACATGAAAATAAGATGTTCGTTCATAACTAACGAGAGGAGAATTGAGTGTTATTCAAAGTGATGAACCTTCTTTACAAGAGAAAAGTGGGAATTTGATATGTTTTATGTTAGTTATGCACACTAACACCGCATGATGAACGAGCGTAAAAACAAATATAAGAAATAGTATACTCGGTTTTCACGCTGAAACCCAGGATCATTCGGTCAACGTATTGCTATGGCTGCTCCAAGCAGAGGTTAGGTAACACCGTTGATTATGCTGCAGCTACCTCTGTTTGACAATTTTCCCTTTTTATAATTCAATCCAATGTTTTGACCATTCGCGTCTTCAATCGATTACATGCTTTTTACCGTAATGATATTTTAGTGTAGTTGAATCACCGTCATGATATAGCACAATTTCCACGGCATATAAAACATTTCACTCCCTCAGAACATCAGAAAGAGTTACTCGTTATAACACTTCTATTTGGCCTAATTGATATTTCACTTTTTCTGCTTTTCTTAGTAATAATAATCTGTCTTCTTATTGAAACCCAATTCACAAAAGTATATTTGCACTGTTACCGCGAAAAAAATCTTGCATATTTATTATCATCTCAATTAATATTTTTAGTTGATTATATTAATAAATAACAAAAAATGTTCATCTTCTTGGGTGAAAACTAAAAATATGTCTCTTTGCCAGTTGTTTTGTTTTTTGTTTGGTCTCGTCTCTTTGCCAGTTTGAGTATAGTGTTTTGCATATTCAAGACAAAAGAAGATGAAAGCAATTAATCTAATCACACATTCACGTCACACCTATCATCTTTCCCTAACTCCAACAAACTATTCGTTTTCATGTGGGACCCATCCCTGAAAATCCACACCCAATACAGTATATACATCATCAGCATTACACGCCTTGTAGCAGCAGGCACCACACCACACAACATTGTTTACATAACTTCACTTTCAAGGCCAATCCTCTCTAACTTTCGTTTTTCTTCCTAAGCCAACGCATAACAAACACACATTCGCACACACCCTTTCTTCATTCTTCATCTTTCTCTCTCTCTCTCTCTCTCACACACACACACACAAGTTAGTGCAAGCAATCAGTGATGATCTTAAAGTTGTTGTCTTTTAAGTGATGGGTTCTTGTTCTTCACTCCCCAGAAACGCTAAGAAAGACATGAAGCTCAAACTTTCTTTTGGTTCCAAATCTGAGAAGCTTGTGATCCCTCCTTCACCCATCAAGGAACAACCCAAAAATGGCAACTTTAAGTGGTCAACGTCTCGGTCAACGACCACCTTCACGGACCACGGTATGGTCATTGTTCGTTTGTAGCTCCAAGATTTGTATTCATCGTTGTTACACGTTCATAGGTTGTCTTTTTATTTTTTTGTGCTTTATTTGATTGGTGTCCTTTTATGAAGATGCTGTTTTTATTAATATATGAATGTTTCTGGGATTTTATTTGACGTGCGATCAGGGGTATTGTATTGTTGTGGGGCCTATGAAGAATTATTACTCATTGAGGATACGCTTGAACTTGAAGGAATCCCTTTTTTATTTTTGTCTTTTTAAAATTTGAGTTCAATATGTGATGTTATTCAGTGTTATTGATGTTTGCTTTTTTGCGAAGCATATTTCTGTTTGAATTTTTCTGCACTCTCCTATTGGGTGATCTGTTGGTCATCGAGATTGATCTAATTGATTTATACTAAATTTGATTTCTGTTGTATTCAGCTATGGTTTGGTTATGTTATTATACTCAAGTTGAAAATTATCCCGGGGCATGAGGACTTGGATCCTAACTATCTTTGCAAATATGCTGTGGATGTCTCACTGAGTTTCATGATTTTCTTATTGTAATATACGAAGATGAAGATATTTTTTGTCATTTCAGATAAACGGTCTATTCAATGTTTATCTTTATATGTGGGATTGGAGGTATTTTACCCAGAATGTGAACAATTCGCCTACTAATACATTGGAGTCTATATGTTATGGTGGACATTGAAAGGGATTGCAAGGACACTGGCGATTTAATTGAATACATAACCCTTAACGCTGATTAATTTTTTGTGCTGTGCTTATATCATATACTAATATAAACGGAATAGATTTGTTATCTTGTTGTTTGTTTTGATTAAGGTATCCTTGGACAGTAGATACCTATTGAAAGGAATTATTCCTTCTCCTTCAATGTCTCTCCTGCATGAGTAATAGGATGATAATTTTGTGTACATGAAATTTCTGTTATTTTTTCAAGGGAAAAAGGAATCAACTAATGAATAATGTTCTTGTAGTATAGGAAAATTAGACCACAAGTGTCCTTGGAGATCTTGGATGGTTCACAGATTGAACCTGCTCTCTCTTTCTACCGACTGTGCTGCATGAAAGTATAGTTTAGCTACAGTCAATATATCTTGCCAGATTCCATTGGGCTTAACAGTTGGTTTACTAATTACAAACAGTATTTGCAGACAAGAACTGCATAATTCAGAAACAGATACTAGAATTTCATGCCCTGTACTTATTTCAGTGACACTGTTGGTTGAATTGATGATATGCTTTGGTTGCTACTGTTGATTTAATTTCATATTATAAAAGTTTTCTCTACTAATAGATATCAGATTGTACTGACTTTTGTTTTTGGTAGATGTTTATTTATAACTGCAAAAGTGATAATGCCCCGTCTTTGGAACTTCCATCCTTTTGTGTAGCAGTGGGAATAAAATATTGTGTCCAACATTGTAATCTGTCTTTTCTGACCTTCTGCAACATTTATTCCTCATTAACTACAGATTCTGTTGCTTTATGTTGGGTTGGATCTATGTCTATCTAGCACATTAGAGCAGAAATGTTCCTGCAAATAGCCAAAATTGGTTTAAGTACTTGATTATTCAAAGTGAGTGTCATTGCGATTGAAATCCTAGATTGTGTGACATGAATTTTATTTCATCTTGATGATTAACCTGAAAGTTCAACCAATCTTTTCAGAGTAGCCTTATAACAAGTAGTTGAATACCATTTTTTAACCCGTAAAAGTAAAGAATTGAAGAAACTACTTTGTGTCCTTATGAGTTACCCACCAATGGAGAAGTGCTTGGGAATAAGAGTTTGTGTTTTTTCCCACTACCTGCTAGTCACATTCCAAACTCAAGAATCAATCTTCTCTGTTCAATGGATGGATTAACTGTTTCTTGTTATTATTTCATTGATCATTCATTGAATTACTTTCTCATAGGTTTCATATTCAAGTTTTCCATTCACATGCCATGTTTTTGTTTCCTTCACAGGTAGCAAAGAGGAAGCATTTTTTGATTCCAAGCCCTGGCTAGACTCAGATTGTGAAGACGATTTCTTTAGTGTCAATGGTGGTAAGGATTTTAACTTGTTTACTTGGCCATTTTGTTATAATACAAGTAAGATATGGATGATGAATATAAGTGAGACTTTGCAGGTAATAATAATATGTGATTGTTAAAAAAAAAAAAAGCATTTTATTGTCATGTTTGATGATATATGACTTTAATTGTCATTGACATTGTATCATAATAAGCTTTTGTGTAATGCAACTTTATGAAGAAAGAACAACTCCTATCAGAACTTTTGAATATATTGTTTTACCTTTTCTGTAGTTTCTCTTTCAACCACCTTTAGTTACATGGTCATATCATTTTATGCAGACTTCACACCATCTCGAGGTACCACTCCAGTTCACACTTTTGGGACCCCTTCTCAGAATAGAACTTCGAGTTCTACGCCTGAACCGTCTCCAGAAAAGAAAAAGAAATTATTAGAACTTTTTAGAGAAAGTGTCAAAGATGACAAAGATGATGGCAATGGACACAAAGAAGTTAAACGAACTATACAAGATGTTCTGCCTAAATCTGCACATTGTACTCCTTATCTCTCAGGTGCTGACTCTGCTTGTTGTAGTGAAAGAATCTCTACTGAGGAACGTGTCTCCATTAGAGAGAAATCAGTTAAATCTTTGCAGTGGTGCATTCCAAGCTTGTCTTCTTGCCGAAGCTTTAGTGAGAGAAGGAGGAAGACAAGTCCTGCAATAGCAGTAAATGGGAAACATTGACTTATATTGCAATCTGATGAACCAAGTTTCTTTGATATCCTGAAAGGTAAAGTGGTTGAATTGAATTTTGATAATGTACATCAGTGTATCTATGTAAAGAACAATGAAGCAATGTGAATTTGCAAGCATGTAAACATAAACAGAAGAGATGCTGTAAATCAATTTGTAATGAGTTTTTTTTCTGCCAGTAATCCAACATCAAGGTTAACTGCCTCATCATGATTAGTTTATTTAGTTAGGTAGTATTTTGATGTTTAGATGATGATAGTTTTTCTATCTTTTTTTTTTTATAATTTTTGAGTAATTAAATAAATAGGTAGCATAGGTGTTGTATACAGTCATGAAGTCTCCCAGTAGAAAAGAATGTTGATTCTTGTTTGCTTTCATTGCTTAGACAATTTTATCGCCAGAGTTTTATCAAATTACTGTTTCGAATAACAATGCAATTTAGATATTGTTAAAAAAATCCCTCAATCAAATGACAATTGAAAAGGGATTTTTTTTTAACCAATTAATTTCTGGCATATCACCCTATGTGACTACGTCCCTCAATTCCAGTCAATTCATATCTTCCTAGAATTGTCTTTTAATTGACCAATTTGTTTTCATTAGATTTTTTTAAATCTAATTTTGGTGAAATAATTATTTTATTCTTGAATTTACACATTCATTTTATTTAAAAAAAATATTTCATTCTACTAAGTAAAACCTTTTGAAGAGGCAGAATATTCAAAGTATTAATTAGTTGTAGATTTTAATTTGGATCCCATGTGATGGTGTTTATACTATTATCTAATAATCAATTAATCTATTTTGAGAATGATTAACTTTATTTTTGTGATGCTAATGATCAATTAATCTATTATTAAAATAAGTTTAATATTTTAAACTGACATAAAAAAAATTATGTCAATTTAATTTTATGCTAAGTGAAAACGAGTTGCATTTCGTGTTTAACTAAATTTTTGATCCACTGAACGTTAAACAGTGTTTATTTCAATAATTTCCCTCACTTTTATGTGTATAAATACAGTTTTAGTGTTCTCAACATAAGTTTAAATTGAGTTTAAACTGACTCAAATTTATCAATTTTTTAGTTTTGTTAGATGTAGGCTTGGATTCCAGAATATTTCATTGATAAACATTATGAAATTCTACACTTAGGTATTAACTCTCCTCTTTACAATTATTTATCAGAGCTAATATTCTTTTAATGTACTTTTTATTCGGCTAAAATGGTAAGATTTAGGATTACAAATTTACAATATAACACAGCACGATCACAAAGACCATAATTATAAAAGTCATGTCCATAATAGATTATGTTAATGGTACGCATTTTTGTTCTACTTCTACGAGAATCAAAGAAGAAAAGAAAAAGAAAAAGAAAAGCTAAGCATACTTTACTGGGAAAACACTGCAGGAAGCTTCTTGAAATATTCTACTTTTTATCGAGTTTAATGATAAAATTTGTTAATAGAAAATAAAATACAATAAATAGAGATATATTTACCAATATAGTATAATATAATATATAAATTTTCTAATCTTTGTATTTTTAATAAAAATATATTATTTATTAATTTCTTTTATCATATACTCTAGATATACATTAAAAAAATTGTATTATACAATATACAACCTTTTTAATGTATACTCAAGGGTATATAATACAATCTACATATAACAATAGATCATTACTAAAAATTGCATAATTTAATACATTGGAAATTACCCAATAATATTCAATATTATAATTTTATACAAAATATTTTTTTATTAAATATCTTTAAATACACATTAAAAATAGTATAATATAATATTAATTAGTTTTAAAGCTATATTTGTATGCAAGGTGAGTTTTGAAAACTCACTTTCATGTTTCAATTGATTAATTTCTTCTCTTACTTATCACTTTTTTTATGTCATATGAATACTTTACTTGTCATGACTATTACAATATCTACATTTTTGTTAGATCATCAATTTCACATTTTCAATTAAATATTTTTTTCCCTTTCCCATTACTTTCTTTTGTATATTTGAAAAAATATCCCATAATTTTCTCTTTGTCAACAATTACTCTCTTTTCATTTGAAATAATATAATAACCTTTAAGTTTTTTTCTCAACTAAGCTAGTGCAAGAGATCTTATCTTATATCACTACTAATTATTAGTTTTATTGTAAAATAATAATATTTTTCTTCTATTAATAAATTTCTTTTAAAAATTCATCACTTTTAACATGTTAATTGTTAAACATTTTCTCCTCTTCTCCATCATTTTTTTACTATCTATTAATACTTTCTATCTATTTGATGTAGTAAAATAATCATAAAAACTTCTTTTTATCTCAACAAAATCAACATGACATTTTATATTATGTCACTATTAAAATTGTGTTATATTTTTTAAAAACAAAAATATCATTTTCTTCAAAAGAAAATAAATTACTTTCTTAATATTTAAGGCAGAAACCTAAGAAGAATTATAATAACTTTCTTTCTATTAAGAAAAAAATTCCTCCCAAAAATAAAACTTTGAAATTAATTTATTTCTTTAGCTTTTGTCTATTATATGTATAAAAGCTAAAATATGAACTATGAAATTATTACGTTAGATTTCTCAATCTATTGTTTTTATGTCACATATGTAAAATTAAAATATTTTTTATACTTATTGTTTACTTTTAAAAGCATCCGTTCAATATTCTTAGCTTCATCTCTTAATCTAACTTTAATATTAAATTCTCAATACCTTTTTTTTTTAACTATTTGGTTGACCCTTTACCTTTTTTTATCTTTTTGATAATTACTTTTCTTTATTAACAGTAATATATTAATATTTGTAAGACTTAGTTTCGTAATTAGTTAAAAGAATCAATGTTAGTACTAAATGTGAATTCGTGGAATCAAATGATCCAATATATAAAAGAACTGCATATTATATTATATTTACATATCATAATAAGTTAAAAAAATTATTAAAACAATATTAATTTTGTTTAGCTCTAAGAAGATCATATTAGTTTGATACGGTGCATTTATAGCCTTTTGATATTTGCTTTTATTAGTAGCACGCTGTTGTGGTTTTATTCTAAATTCAAAACCTATAGCATATATTATTATTTTTTTTGGCATAATTGCATGTTTAATCATTTTATTTGGATTATGTGCAATTTTATTTCCTTAATTTTTTAAACTAAGTAATTTATTCTATTTTTAAAATTAAATAAATTAGGTTATTTCATCTATATTTTTTGCACAAATCCTTAGTTTATTATTTTATATTCAAATATTTGAAGTTTAATGATTGATTTGGAGTATGAAGTTATTTTAATAATTTTTAAGTAAAAGGTTTAGTGAAAGCTTCATAAAATTTGAAGATTTTATAAGATGTGAGACTTGATGTTAAAGAAGAAAATTTTAGAGTTTATTATTTTATTTTGGGTGAATATCAATATTTTGATTGATGAGTTTATAGTAGACAAATATTTAAAATAATTTAATTAATTCAATTTATGAATATTTTGAGTAAAAAAATTAGAGTTCTTAGTAGAAAATATCGTAAACAAACTAAATTTATTTAATTTTATAATATAAACAATTAATTAACTCATAAAATAATTAAAAACAAAAATAATATACATAATAAATTATAAATATTATAAATATAATTAATTTGACACTTAAGCATAAGCATAATAAATATTGTTATGAAAAATTTCATAAAGTATTTAATCAATTAAAATCATATTATATTATTTGATTAACATAATCATATCACATTAACGATATCTATAATTATTATTTGTTATGCAGGACTTTGTTCTTGTCTCCGGAAACCCTTGGCCACGAGAGCTTAAAATTTAATATTATAATATTTATTTCATAATCATTATAAATTTAATAAATCTTACTTTTATAGTTTAATTTTTTTAATAGGTCTTTATAATTTAGCAAAGTTTAAACTAGTAAGTAGCGACTTATTTTAAAAAAACTAAACCATATCTAAAATTCTCATTGAAAATTTTAAACTAAAAGACTTATTCAAATTAATTGGAGTAATAGAAGATTACAAAATAATTGAATATATAGATTTGAAAATACAAATTATTCTAAAAATATATAAAATAAGATACAATATTATTAAGTACTCGTATTAATTACGTGATAGTATTTTAATTAGATATGATCAATATATATATATATATATATATAAATCAATTTTAATATGTGTTCTGTAATAGAATAATTGAATAACATGTTATTAAACTAATAAAAAGCATATTCGAATATAGATTGTTAAATTGTTTTTAAAAATCCAAATTAATATAACAGAAAGCCTTCAAAAGGCTCCTTAAAAGATTGAGATGTTTTATTTTTATAATACTAAAGTTGAGATATTGTTGTAAGATCGGATATTGTTGTTTGAATATTGAACATAAAATCAAACCATCATATTTAGTATGTATATAATCTTTATGACAAAATCTGCTTATAAATTGAATTAGTAAAATGGGTCATTCGGTTTAATTAAAGCCGTTGAAATACAAAAGTTTGAACTTTAAATTCAGTTTTCTATTCTTAAAAATAAAATATAATACATTAAATATAATTTTTAAAAAAACATTGAACTTAAAATCCGAACTCCAATAATCATAGTGTTTATGTTGTCTGCTAACTTACTCTTACTACTAAACTATCATTGCAAAGCCTTTTTGGTACCAATAAAATGAGATTCAAAGCTCAACATAAATTAGATTTGATAATCCATCTTGATACATTAATTCTTCATACATTCCTTGTCTAGGGAATCTCTTGTTTATTTATCTATTTATAAGTTGAAGAATCTATTAAGCCTAGGAAAGCAAAATGTGTTTAATATTCCTTATTTAAAGTTTAGTAGAGTGCTTTATCGGTCCCGATAATGTTTATCGAAACGCCTTTGTACGACTCCCTGTGACCATTCCAAACTTGAAACATCAGCAACACCAAATGCTTCAAGTGTAGCTTCAATTCTACACTCCCTAGTTAGTAATCATAAATTAGGGGTATCCTAAGTGGACTAATGAAATACAATGTCTTTATTTCATTAAACAAATCTACTAATTGGATAAGGTAATTAAATTTTGTATTCCATGAATTCCTAGTTCAAACTTCAAGTACCAGCAAAGCTCAGTGATTCTTGTTCTTATCTGGAGCATATAAAATGTAACAGGAAGTGGATGTGATCATGAATTCTGAAATTCTTTCATCCAGAACACCTAGACACACCCACCAATCCTTAATTGCACAAATATGACTGAGAAATCACACCTCAGCCTAAGGTTTGCCCAATTAGAAAAAGCAAAGCAAATACCACAAAATCCAGTCCCAAAAATACAAAGGGTATTACATCATCTCCGAGATAGAAAGCATTTTGCCAAGCATTACTCCCCCAGGTTGGTGTCAATTGGTCCAATTCATCATGGTGCAGAGAACCTTAAGCTGGGAGAAAAGTACAAGCTTATGTGGGCAGCAATGTACCTTGGACGCACCAAACAAGATGAACAAACTTTGTACCAAAAGGTTGCAACAAATATCAAGCAACTTAAGAAACTGTTTGCTGAGGATGTGATTGTTCACTACCCAGATGATGAAATATTGTCATGGATGCTATTTGTGGATGGATGTTCTCTATTGCAAATATTGGAAAAGGGAAAACTTAATAAACCTGAAGAAATGAATGTCAAGGTTGACCAATTGGTTCTTGTGTGGCAAGATGTGCTCTTGTTAGAGAACCAGCTTCCATATCAAGTGCTTAAACTGTTGTCAGGTCATGACAATGGTGCAATGCTGATAGACAGCATGAATGAGTTTCTTAAATGTCATCATTTGTGGCCAGGAGAAAACAGGTATACTCAGATTAAAGCTTAAATATTTTCTTCTTCTTTATTAATTTGTTTTAATTCCTCTATAATTTGAGTTTTGTTTCTCATTTTTTCTTATCTTTTTGAAAATAAACACTTTTAAGTCTGCACATAATCATAGATCTCTCATTTTTTTTTTTAACATTTTATTGGAGACTCCATTGGAGGACAGAGTACGGTGTTTCTGCACTGTTTTTTTATGTGACATGGAAAAAAAATTACAAAATTAAAAATAGATTGAAAATATGAAAACTATGTGTTGGTGTTAAAAAATATTATTCAAATAACAGAACTCTAAATCCATTGAAAGTTGGTATGTCATGGTAAAATGGAAGCTCGATTAGCTTTTATTTATGAATATTTTTAAATCGGGCATTTTAATCAAAGTAGTGTTATTCTTACTTATTATTATTTTTAATATTTTTATAATTAATTTTTTATCACACTATTTATCATATCATATAATTTCTCTCTCTCTCTCTCTCTGTATTATAATCAGTATTGTGAAAAGAAAATGTTAAGAATATAATTATTCTTTAAATTGGGACATAAATCAGGATACATAAAAAAAAATAGATAATTTGAATCTATTTATGTAAACATCATGAACAAGAATATCAAGAGATATTAAATTCAACTACAAAATCGGGATCTTCTGAAGTTTTGAAGTTTGTAGTCTAAATTTAGAACCGTACCTTATATTTTTTTCAAAAAGAACAAACTAAAATTTTGAATGTTTATTGACTTTGAAAACATCAAACTTGAAAATAATAATAATAATAATAATAATAATGTATACGACTGATATTTGGTTTAAATTTCCTTATATAAGATCTTATAATTTATTGTGAGTGTCCTAATTTTTAAATGAGAGTATTTTTATATATTAATTTTTAATATACTTTTTTATAATTTAAATTTTTTTAACATAATAAGATATATTATTAATATTCAAAATAATATATAATAACAAAAACTACTCATAAAAGGTTGGTGGGGTGGGGTGGGGAGGGGGGGGGGTTTGGGGAAGGGAGGAACTATTTTCAGTGAACAAATATTTATCTAGCTCTTGCATCATATTAACTATAGCTTCGTTTAAAAAAGTCTAAATAATGTAAATAATTAAGTTTTTAAGTCTTATTTTATTATGTGAGATTCATCATATAAATTATATAATATTATTAAATTTAATAAAAAATTATAGTTTTTTAAATATTATTTATTGCTAGATTTCTGTTAATAATTTTTTAAAAATCTTTTTAAGTATATTTTTATCCTTTTTCATCACATTACATGTTATGTGCTTCATTCGCTTCACTTGTGTCTCTAGTAACCTTTTTTCACACGTATTTAAACCACCTCTTACTAATATGAGAAAAACAAATATAAATTAATGTGATAAAATATAAAAACAATTATCCCATACTTCATAAAAAATGAGTAAAGCATCTAAATTTGTGCATCTTGTATTATTTTTTTAAATTTAAATACTATTTTAATCCCTATAAAAAATTCATTTTTTTTCGATTTGGTAACTATAAAAAAAATGTATAAATAAGTTCTTAAATAAAAAATTATTTTTAAATTAGTCTTTTACATTTTTTATTATTGAACTGTTATCTCATATTTCATTTTTTAAAAAATTTTGATCTTTATTCATTATATATTTTCTTATTGTGGTCCTTATACATAACACATTTTTTATTTAAATCTTTATAAAAAAATTCTAAAAATTAAAATAAAATTAAAACATATTCCATTAAAGAACTAAAATTAAAAAAATAATTATAGAGGTAAAAAGGAATTACAAGTTAAAAAATATTATGATGATTTATGATAGACTATAAAGAATTAATTTTTATTATTATTTTTTTATAAGAATTAGAATGAAAGTACGTTATATAGAAGGATTACAATAAAAAAAATATGTTATGTATAAGGATTAAAAGATAAAAAAATTTAAATACGATTATACATAGTAAGAGATATTTTTAAAATATTTTTTCATTACAGACTTGTTTACAATTTTTCTTTTTTGTCTAAGCACCAAATAAAAAAGTAATTTTCGTATTGAAACTAAAATAATATTTAATCTTTCCTTTTACTTCTTTTGTTTCCAACACGACGTTTATTTTTCTAATAGAAGCAAAGAAGGCACTCAGCAAGGAGAACATAGAGTGGAAATCTCCCAAGAATCATCAACACCTATTCATCTTCTTGATCAGCTTCGTAGAACTATCCTTATTGACCCTTACAACAGCCTCCAAGATCAAAAAGACAAGGACAAAATGAACAATAAAAGCCAAAAGAACACAAATGAAAACTTCAAAATGACAACACACAGGAACATACAGGAGCTGAAAGCCACCGGTATAAGACTCAAGATAAGCCACTCACGTAGACTCAAAGACATCTATTTCTCTAGTGGCTACTTGGTTGCGGAACTTAAGCTTCCTGAGATCATAGTTGATGATTCAACAGCACCCACGTTTCTCAACTTGATAGCATATGAAATGTGTCCAGATTTCGAGAATAACTATGAAGTTTGTTCCTTTGTGGCATTCATGGACTCACTTATTGATCACCCTGATGATGTGAAGGAGCTAAGATCATCTGGGGTGTTGCATAATTCACTTGGGAGTGATGAAGAAGTGGCGACGCTATTCAACACCATTAGTGCTGATTTGGTGCCTGACACTGAGAGGTATGAACGTGTTAGGTCTGACATTGAGAAGCATTATAGGACCAAATGGAAGACTTGGATAGCTCTTGGTTATCACACATATTTTAGTAACCCTTGGGCTATTATTGCTTTCCATGCTGCTGTTGTTGCTCTTGTTCTCACTTTCATCCAAACTTGGTTTGCTATTAACCCCTCTGACTAATTCATTCATACATGCCTTCGATTTTGTTTTGGATATCCCCTTCTTAATTCATTTCTTTAATTAAAAAATGACATGACTTAAAAATATTATATTGTTTTTCTTGATTGTTATTTTTTGGTGGGGCAACAAAAATATTTGTATGTTTCGGTGTATTCACAGTGCTCCTTGAAGTAATAAATGTGTTGGTGTGCGATTGGAATTTTGTAATAAAAAATGGTTATATCCATAGTTGCTAAATGAATAATAAAAGTTCTTTTGTGGTAACCTATGGTTTTCTCTTTCTCTTTAGATTATGTAAAGTTTTAAAGGTTGCTTTTGGGTGATTTTGTGTCCATTCTTGGCTAGCATATCTCCGTTGTGTATTTACGGGGTAAGTTGCTGTCTTCTACACGAAGTTTTTAATTGTAAAATTGATATTGGTATGTTAGTTTAACGGTTTTACGCATCATAGTTTACTTGTGTATCAATCCGGTTGAAATTTCAAGTTTCGAATATAGGATTACTATCGTATTCGTTCGTTCTTAATTCATTGTTTGTTGAGTTACAATAGTAAGATTAATTTGTTCTATTGCGTATTTTATTTTATTGAATTAATATTGTAATTCTTATCTTTAGAACATAACTGTGTTAGAAGAGAAAAAAAATATAACAATTGTCTTATTCAAATTATTCTTAATTTATTTTATTATCTCTATCTTTTCTCTTATAGGATCCAAGGGTTCTGAGGAACAAGAAAAAAAGGATTAGTGACTTCAAAGGGGTCATGTCCTTCAATTGAGCCTTTGGCTAATGATTTTCTTATTTCTTAAACTACACATCTATAGTTTATAGGTGTAGGAGTCTAAATAAGGGAAATAATTCAACAACCTAAATTAAAAGAATTATATAAATAGGGAAATAATTCAGTAGCCTATATTAAGGGATGGATAAATAAAGGAAATAACTAAACAGCAAAAATTAAAGAAATAATTCAGTAAGGCAAATTAGGATCTTATCATCCCTCTTCCCTTCCAAATAGTCTTGTCCTTAAGATTGAAAAAATTCTAAAAATTTGACCGTCAACTCATGATAAGGCTCCCAGGTTGCATCTTTGATTGGCAAATTTAACTACTACACCATAACTTCAATAACAGCTCGGTTATTACGTTTGACCATGCGCTGATCCAAAATAGCTTCTAGTTGAATTTGAACTTCTCCACGATCTCATACTTGTGGTAAATGAAATTGCATAACAGATCCATTCCGAATCTTTTTCTTCAAGCAAGATATATGAAAAACTGGATATATTTTGGAATCTTGTGGTAAATCTAAGTGATAAGCTACTGGACCAATACATTCAATAACTTGGTAGGAGCCAAAGAAATGAGGGGAGAGCTTCATAGATGATCGGAGTGTGATTGAGGCTTGTCGATAAAGTTGAAGCCTAAGGAAAGCCCAATCCTTTACTGAAAATTCTCGCTCATTGTGATGTTGATCTGCTTGTTGTTTCATACAATGTTGGACAGTATTTAAATTGTCCTTGAGAAGTTGCAACACCTTATCTCTACTATTCAACTCCTTGTCCACTTGATCAATTTTAGAACTCCTAATAGTATACTTTGCAAGGGTAGGTGGAGCTCGACCATAAATTGCTTCAAAATGAGTTATTTTTGTCGAAGAGTGGTAAGTAGTGTTATACCACCATTCTGTCCAAGGGAGCCATTGCATCCAATCCTTAGGTTTGTCACTTGCAAAACATCAAAGATAATTCTTCAAGCACCAATTGACAACTTCAGTCTAACCATCTATTTGGAGATGGTATGAGGTGCTCATTTTGAGTTGAGTACCCCGTAAACGAAAGAGCTCTCTCCAAAAATTGCTAGTGAAATTTTTTTTTGATCACTAACAATAGAGTGCGGTATTCCATGAAGTTTAATGACATTTTTTGTAATATCCTCTTTTCATTTTTTGGTAAATTATGTTTTGATTGATGTTAAGTAGTATTAGAATGCATTTAGAAGAGAAATGGAGAATTTTAGAGGAATGTTGGTGCAGGAGATCTCCCTCAAGCGAGATAAATCTTGCCCAAACGAGATTGAGCGTGCAAAAATACAAAGTTGCAAGGCTATCTCACTTAAGCGAGATAAGATAAATTCAGCCTAACTGTCACCTCGCCCAAGCAAGAGTGATCTCGCTCAGGCAAGAGTGATCTTGCTTAGGTGAGTTGGGGATCTCGCTTAGGCGAGATGGGTCGCTCAGGCGAGGACCTATAAGAAAAATAGCATGTTCTTTGGACACCATCTTGCTCAGGCGAGATGGAGCTCGCTCAAGCGAACATACTGAAAAATATTGGGCGAGACCACAGTCTGTATATCTCACTCAGGCGATAAAGCTGTCGCTCAAGCGAGCTGTTCCTCACTCAAGCGAGAACACGCGGGACTGAGGGGTATTCAAGAGATTTTCAGCATGAGAATTTTATTTGTTTCTAAATCACATCCCTCTCTCAATTTTTCTCTGAACTCTGTCTTTCTTTTACCTAGATAAAAGTCTTAGAAACTCCGATCTCTCTTTGAATCCAAGCTTGAACATTGAAGCTAAGTGACTCTAAGTAAGTAAGTTTCTTCGGATTAAACTTGATTTTCTCTTATTATTTTTCCTATTCTTATTCCTTATGGATATCTCTTGGTATTCAAGAGAACTTCCTTAGTCGACATTTGATTCTTTTCAACATCTATTTGTGAACTAATTTTTGAGGTAAGGAGGGCTCTATTTTATCTTTCTATTATATTATTTATTTTGCACTCATGAGAGCACTATTATATAAATGTCTTATGAAAATATATGGTTGAGATATCTGTTGTGTGAAGTATGAATGAAAAGATGTTTGTTTGATTGTTTAGACTGATTGATTATTTGGGACAAATGACTGACATATGCTTATATGCATTGTATGATAAATACTTGAGGTGGAATATTATGAAACTTGCTAAGTGATTTTGTGTGATTTTAAGAAATATGTCTGAGTAAAATGATATGAGGAAATGATGTGGATATGAAAGATTTACAGTCGTAATTGTATCAATGAATGTATGAATGGAATAGGTTGGAATGGAATTAACCTGAAAGTGCTTTACTAAGCATAATCTTATGAATGACAAAGAGAAATAACTTTGAAAAGGACCTAAGAGTCAAGTATGGATGAAATCTAGTGTGAATAGTTATAGAGATACATTAGGGATATAGAGTCCAAAGACGATGAAAATCTGAGAGAAATGTAGGGTGGTGAGCGACATTTGCATACGTGTACACACTCTTTTTGAGAGCGAATGCATCACATGGCCTCACACTCATTTCTTGACTAGACTCCTGACTATGCCTTTGCTAAGAGACCTGATTTTTGTATATGTTGTATCCGTGTGCATAGGCTAACTAGCGACTATTTACCTAGTTGAGTAAGACCTCAAGAAGTGTTGGAGGCATCAATATCTGTGATCACAATGTACTGGAGTGCGTATTGGAATGAGAAAACAGATAATAGATAGTGAATTATGACTTATGTATGTGTGAATATGTTTGTTATGTGAATTTAATGTGAAAATGAATATGTTGCCATTATACCATAACTTATGATTTTATGATATAATGTTTGAAAAGGATAGAATAGATGTTAATCCTTACTAATAATTTTAGGAAATCAAGATGACGGAGCCTCAAGAAAGGATTAGACTAATAGATAGATCTGTATATTTTAGGTTAAATTATGTATTTAATGAATATCAAAGAGTATGTTATTTTAAATTTGCTGTACTTGTAGAGAATGAGCCTAGGGTTTTTGTTATGATAGAGATGAGTTTCTCTTGTAGTATTCCTTTTGACTTTCCTAGGAGTAGAATACACCAGATTTTATGTGTGTGTGTGTGTGTGTGTGTGTATAGGTACGATTAGAACTCCTGTAGCCCTCACCTATCTTTTCACCTATCAGGACCATGACCATCTCGGAAGGCTGACCTGATAGACCTTCGAGCATGTTACTAGCATAGATGTCAGAGTTGATTTAGGCGATCGTTATCTGGGTTCAGATGATGACCTAGATTCAGAGGATTTGGTCGAGATAGAGAACTAGCACGGGGTTGATGAATAGGACCAATCTTCAGTGTTAGTGGTTGAGTTGAGACTGCTCTGAGTTGTAATTTTGCATATATGATGTAATTAGTTTATGGGATGTAAATATTATTTTAAGTTTCATATATTTTGACAAATGGTTTATAAATTATTGTACTCGATCTATGAAATGCATATATAGTCTTTTAACTTATGAATTTTGAATTTGTTTAATATAACATTTAAAATTTTTGTCATAATCAAAATAGAAGTATTTGTATAAACTAATTCAAAATAAAGAATATTTCAGTAATTAGTTATAATAAATCGCATTATACATGAAACTCTTATTTTATACCAAATTATAAAGTATAAAATATACATTGTATGAAATTTTGAGATTAGGATGTTACAATTTGGTCTGCGATGTTTTGTTTGATTCTGGTGCCACACATTCCTTTGTTTCTATGGATTGTGTGAATTGTGTTGGATTGTCAATATCTAATGTTATTGTGTCTACTCGTACAGTTGAGCTTATTCTGACTTCTTCTGTGTGCTTAGGTAGTTCTGTGATGATTTATGGTATGAATTTTTGTGTAGACTTAATTTGTTTACCGCTTTCTCAACTCGATGTTGTTTTGGGCATGGATTGGTTGTCATCCTAAATATGGACTTAATTTCTGTGATGATTCATTGTTCTGTTAGATTGTAAGGAGAAAACTTTAATCTTTGGTGATGATACACCAAAAAAATCTAGACTCCTAAATATGGGTGAAGCCAAAAACGTGGGTGAAGGCTTTCTTGGTATTATTTTTTTTTTAGATTGATAAGGCTGTGAAAGCTAAGCATATTCTAGTAGTTCAAGATCTTCTGAAAGTTTTTTTTAGAAGATGTAAAGAATTGTGTTCGGAGGGCAAGTG